GGGGTCGCCCTGCTGGGAGGGGCCCCCAAGCACAGCCTCCCCAGTCCTGCCGCGGGGGCGGGCATCGAGGACCCCCAGACCACTGCCCCCGTGCCTCCCATACAGGTGCAGGTGCCCACCCACCTGCACCAGGTCCGACCTTCAGCTCAGGTCCACCGTGGGGCTGGCCCGGTGGGCATTGGGGGCCCAAGCGAGGGCCGTGCCTTTGCCCAGACCCTGCACTTTTGCCCAGGCCACCCGCTCTGGGGAGCAGGGGCCTCCCCAGCAACATCCCCAGGGGCCCTGACTCGGGGTTCATCTGTCCCCCTCATGCCCCAAGGGCCTGGGGTCCCAGCCCCGCTGCCAAGTGGCCTTGTCCCACTCCCTCCCCCGGGCTGGTGTGAGTGTGCGTGTGTTCCTGCGGAGCTTCTGTCTCATACTGCAGACATAAATAAAAGACGGTTTACGATTCTGCCTGAGTGTGCGTGTGTTCCTGCGGAGCTTCTGTTTCATACTGCAGATATAAATAAAAGACAGTTTACGATTCTGCCGGCACAGCCTTCTGGGACTGGGGTGGGCTGACCCACACGGGCCTGGCCCTCGTGTCTGCCACGAGAGGGTTAGGGAGAGCACGGCCCCTAGGGCAAGGACGCCCGGGAGGAAGGGACTTGGGAGAGGGAGCCCTCACCTTCCGGCTGGGTGCCTGCCCCAGCAGGGCTCGTGGGGAAGCCGGCCACAGCCAGCCTGGGTCAGGGTCTGCTGCTGTTCCACTGCCTCTCCCTGGCGGAGCAGGGACTGCCTCCTGGATGGGCATAACTGTCCAGCCCCCACGTGTGCCCACCAGTGAGGCCCTATGCCCAGCACCCAGGAGGGCCATCTCCCAGATGGGAAGATCGGGTGGGCTAGCGTGCCACATGCAGTCGGCTTTATATGTGAGCCGGCAGGAGGCAGCCTCAGTACCCTGGTTCTTCGTCCCTCAAGCTGGTGTCTGGCAGAGGCTCCCCCAGAAGAGGAGGGAGGGTGCTAGCAGGGCCTGGCTCACGGGGGAGGGGCAGCCCTGTCCCAGGACAGCTGCCCTTGGCGATGAGGAACCCTGCGCTGTGCCCTTCTGATTGGCTGGGCAGAGGACAATGGGCAGGCGAGTGCTCATGAGCCTTGAGCCTCTCTCCCTTGGCAAGAGGAGAAGCCTGGTCTCAGAGGCAGTGGGACCCCAAGATCCTAGTGGGCTACCTTATCAGTGGTGCCAGGCGAGGCCTTCTCTGGCACGGGCCACATCTCCCTGCTCCTTATCAGGCCCGGAGTCCACAGGACGCTCGTTAGGTTAACGTGTAACCACGAGCCCCATCCTCCACCCCCGGAACCACCCACTCCCAGGCTCAGGCCACCCTGAGGTGTCACAGGCCACCATGGACGCTGGGGAAGAGGGGCCACCCTTGGAGACTCACCTCTTAGTCCAAGTGAGAGCCGGGCAGGGGACGGGGCTGGGCCTCCGGGGGCCTCTGTCCCTGGGGAAAGGCCAGGCCTCCCTCCTTAGAAGCTGGGTTCTGGTGACCTGAGGTTCTGGTTCTTGCAGGCTGGAGGCTTGGGTGACGGGTCCCTAAACGGGCCTCATGTGGACAGCTCAGTCCCTGGAGCAAGATGGGGTGGAACTGGGAGACAGACACGGAGATTGAGGCCCACCTGGCCTGCTGCCCCCCAGGGCTGGGCTGGGCCACCACCTGTGGCTTAGCAGCTCCCTCCCCCCGAAGCTCCCGCATGTCCGCAGGTGGCTGGCTCCCTTCATCCTCACCTGCTCCGTCTACTTTCTGCTCTGGATCCCGGAGGACCAGCCCTCCTGGGTCAGTGCCCTAGTCAAGAGCCTGCCTGTCCTTTGCCTGGTCATCTTCCTGGGGGCTGTGACCTCTAGCAGCAGCTACGCCCGGCTCCTCCAGGGTGCCCTGGTGTGCTCAGCCGTGGGGGATGCCTGCCTCATCTGGCCCGAGGCTTTCCTCTATGGTGAGTGGGGACCTGGGAGAACTGCCACATGTCGCAGTGCCGTGCGAGGGAGGCCAAGCTTGGGCAAGTTGGGGTGTGGACAGGAAGTTCCCACTATGAGCTGTGCAGGGCGCTGTGGGGGCGGCCCTTGCTGGGGGGTAAAGGGGATCTCACACTGTTCCGCTGGGTTGTCCTGGGAGGCCTTGCTGAAGAGAAAGGATTTGCCGTGTGCACATGGTGGGGGACTAGGCAGGGGCGGCAGGAGCAAGGACCCTGGTGCAGTGGCATGCATGTGGTCAGACAGACCAGGGTGGCCGGTAGAGAGGTCAGCAGGTGAGCCAGCGGAGGACAGTGCGCAGGACGAGGACTTGGTGCAGGGCACTTCGTGAGCTTGCTCCCACTGCTCTGAGAGCCGACTAGTTTGCCAAGTATAGGGAGAAGCTGGGAGGCCACGGAGGGGCAGGCACCATAATCCCAGTAGAGAGCCAGCAGCACCTCCAGCCAGGAACTGGTCATTGGAGCTCCCTTCCCCAGAGGCCTGGGGGCAGTACCGAGGTTGTCTCTTGCCCCACTGCTGTCTCCCACCAGGCATGGCCGCCTTCGCCTTGGGCCACCTCCTCTACATCAGGGCCTTCGGCCTCACCCCACTGCAGCCGGCCCTGCTGCTGCTTGTGCTCCCAGCCCTGCTTGGGTACTTCAGCCTCCTGCTGCCGCACCTCGAGCCAGACATGGCCCCGGCTGTGGCCAGCTATGGGCTGATCCTGAGCATCATGCTGTGGCGCGGCCTGGCCCGGGGCAGGAGTGCCCGCTGGGGTGCTCTGCTCTTCACGATCTCCGACAGCGTGCTGGCCTTGGACACCTTCGCCCTGACCGTGCCCCATGCTCGCCTGGTGACCATGGCAACCTACTACGCAGCCCAGCTCCTCATCACTCTGTCAGCCCTCAGGAGCCCGGAGATCAAGGCCAACTGACCAGGACCAGGCAGGCCAGTGTCCACTCCCCTCCTACGAGAGGACTCGAGCCTCCCGGCTGCAGAGCTTACTGGCGGGGCCATCTCAAGACAGTTGTGCACTGTTGGCAAGCTCTGAGTCAGTGCACCCAGGTCCCAGGCCGTTACACCCACCCACAGCCGGCCCCGCCAGCCCCTGGCTCCTCATGTGCCCAGGCAGCACCCTGTCAGCCTGCCCACTTCCCACTGCCTGAACCTACTTCTCTGCTGCCTCAGTAAAGCAGGTGCTGAACCCTGATGTCGTTGTCGTCTGAGTGGGCTGTCAGGGAAGAGACAGCAGAGCAACTCAGTTATCTGGGAGCAGGCGTGGTGCCTGACCAGCCTCTCCAGGGCCTTGAGAGGATTGCTGTCCTGGTTACAGGGGAGGGTTGTACAGAGCTGATGTTGGGAAGGGAAAGGTCACTGTCTAGGGCTCGCACTGCTGTTGCCTTCCACAAATTGGGGGCCTTGAAACAGTTTTCTCACAACTCAGGCCAGAAGTCCAAAACAGGTGTCGGCAGGCTGCCCTTCCTCCAGAGGCACCAGGAGAAGGTCCGTCCTTGCCCTCTCAGCTCTAGTGGCTCTTGGCATCCTTGGCTGTGACTGTGTTGCTCCCATCACAGCCTCTGCACAGGACCTCTGGGTATGTCTGTGCCCGCTCCTCTTGGAAGAGTCCGTCACTGGATCCAGGGTCCCCTCGAGTGATCTCATCTCAGATCCTTCCTTACGTCTGTAAAGACCCCCTTACTTTTTCTTCCTGTCTTCCTTCTCTCCTCCCTACCCTTTCTTCCCCTCCCCATCCCCCCTCCTCTTTTGTTTGTTTGCTGCAGAGCACATGTACTCACCAGAGAGAGGCAGAGAATGAGAAATCACCGCTGGGAGGAATGGTCGTGCACAACCCCTTCTCAGCTCCCCCGGGATTTTTGGCGTACATGCCCCGTCAACC